TTTTAGATTATTACTTTTTAATATTTTTTTTAAAAATTACCTGACTAATATTTCTTTTTCAAATTAGTACCTGACGTTAGTTTCTTCTGTTAAATGATGACGTGGCAAACAGAATGCCACGTCATCGCCCAACGTTGTATGTTATGTCAGCACATAATAGTCACCTCATTTTCCACGTAAATTGCCACGTTAGATTTGTAAATTTTTTAAAAAATTAGTTTCGCGTATATGTTGGAAATTGATGAACTCAGAAACCCATTCTCTCATTCACCTTCAACCTCATGTTTGAAAATTGTTCCTTTTTGATTTTGAAAATATTAAAGTTGTAATTCGTTTTGATTTTCGTTTTCATTCTCCTTTTTCGTGAAGTTGCTCTGTTTTTGTGTTCCTTCAATTTGGAAACGCGCATTGTACGTGGTTATTTGTTCCTTGGGTTAGAAGTTTGAAGCACCGTTCTTTGATGACCATTTGTGGAGGTGAGATTTTGTAGCCATAAATAGAGGTAGTTGTTGTCATTGTTGAAGCACTGCCAAAGTTGTTCTAGACGAAACCCCTTGCCATTCTCCGTCTGTGTTGAAGGTAAGTGGTTGGTTATGTTATTAGGGTTTACAATTTGATAGTCTTTAACTGTTCTATTGCTAAGGTTTTTTTGACTCAAAGATTTGGTTTCTTTGCAGTTGTGTTAATGGGTTTCAATTTGAAACTTTATCACGGGAGTCGTTTTGAGTTAGACCCCGTGATGCATTATGTTGGAGGCAGCAAGTCAGTGCATGTGAAGAATATGGATATGGATAGGTGGTCCTATTTTGAAGCTGTGGGAATTGTAAAAGAAGACTTGGCATATGGAAAACATTCTATTAGGCTGTGTTGGAAATTTGGTCCTTCTAATTTCAAATAGATTAATTGTGATAGTGTTGCATTAGACATGGCAAACTTTGCAATTACTAACAATGTTGAAGTGGAAATGTTTGCAGTTTGTGATGGTGGCAATGAAGGTGTTGTTGGGGACAATTTTTGTAACAGTGATGATGACTCTGTGAGGGATGTTCGGTTGGATGATTCAGAGGAGGAGAGGGTTGCTAGATTAGATGAATTTGATATAGAAGTTCCTCAATTTTGTCGAGTCAAACGTACTCAGACCCCTCTTTCAATTTCTTAACCCACGAGAGAGTTCTTTTTCTTCTTTTAGGGTTTTTTCAATTTGTTCTCAGATCCCTCTTTCAATTTCTTATTAAGTCTCAAACATGGAGAATGAGGTGACCATTGTGTGCTGACATGGCATACAACGTTGGGCGATGACGTGACAATCCATTTGTCACGTCATCATTTAACAGAGGAAACTAACGTCAGGTACTAATTTGAAAAAAAAATATTAGTCAAGTAATTTAAACAATTTTTTTTAAAGTAATAATCTGAAAATCGACCTAATTCGAGGTAGTTTAAACATATTTAAGCCTTATGAAAATTATTTAAAAAATATTGCTAAGTTGAAAGTTAATATAGATTTAAATTTAAAAATTAAACAATTATTGCTTATATTATGCATTTAATTAATTTTTAGCTTTAAAAAGGATTATTAATTACTAAAAAAATACAATATTTATATTAGTACACTTATAAGGAATCAAATCACTTATAACCAGAAATTACTTATACCTAAAATTTTAAATACTTAATAATAACATATTAACAAATAGTTTGTGAAATAATAATGACTCGATTTAATATATATGTGTGTGACTCGATTTAATATATGTGTGTGTGAATTTAAAGGGAAAAATTGCAATTGACTCGGATGGAAAAAAAATTTCCATTACACACCCAAACATGCTCACTATATATAATAATAATAATAATAATAATAATAATAATAATAATAATAATAATAATAATAATAATAATAATAATAATAATAATATTTTAATGTGACCATGTTATTAATACCGATCACTAATGTGTGTCAACAAATTTGATTGACTTTTGGGGAGCCTCATGCAAAAGAGAAGTTTATTAGTGTTCAAAAATTATTATTTATAGTAATCATAATTAATAAATAATTAAATATGTTTGATAAATCATAAACATTTTTAGAATATTTATAAATATTACTTAAAAATAAAAAAATTACATTAATTAAATAAATTAAGGTAACGTAATATTCAATTTAACTCTAGAATGTTATTTCCTATGAATGTTATTTTAAAAATAATAAAACTAATATAAAAAAAAACATTTTCAACTTTAGATTACTTGAAAAGTAATTTTTTTTAATTTAATTTAACCATTTGAAAGTCAATTCCAATATAAAAGTGATGATAATCGAGGACAAGGTGGTAATAATCTCTACAAACACTTCAACACCCAAACCAATGCATATATGAAATTTCTGAAATAAGCTTTATATAAATGCAAGCATGAATACATGAAACATCTTATATAACACTGATTAAACATTTATCATAAATTACAAGGTGCAAGCACATGAACCATATGACAGACTCAAATGAGTTCTATAACACTTTTTGTACATCAAATACTCCCGAGTGCATTTTTTTTTAATTATTATTTACATGTCCACTGTAACAGATTTTATTTGAACATTATGTTTTATAATTGTCTACCTAAGTTTTATACTTTTTTTAGGACAAACTTATAGACCGTCTTTAACATGCCCACGCAAGGGTGTAAGACAAAGAGGTCTTTTCCACCCAACATGTTATTGGAAAGCCTCTTTTCCACATGGATCCATTGCTTTTGGACATCACCCGAAAGACCTCTCTACCAATGGAGACAATTGTGTGTATATAATCCCATGTCTATCCTCTTGTTTGAACGATGTGGGACTTTGCTTACATCTCAACAACGGATTTGCTTTTGGACATCACCCAAGGCCTCTCAACCAATGGAGACAAGTGTGTGTATATAAACTAATGTCCATGCTCTTGTTTGAACAATGTGGAACTATGTTTGCATCTCAACAGTTTGTTTAATATCAAATCTCTTATATTATCTTCTACAATATTATAAATAGATTACCCGGTCAATTACTAAAAAGAAAAGGACAAAATAATATAAATATTCACATGATAATTCATTTCATGTTATCGACTCTGCGAATTTTCCTACAAAAAAATATTTGCATAAATTTTTTGCGAATTTTCTTGCAATAATAATTTCACAACTTTTTTTACGAATTTATTTGAAAAAAATAATTTATAGATATTTCTTACAAATTTTTTTATAAAAAATAATCTACAAGAAATTTTTGCAAAATTTGCTAAAATTTTAATGATTATAAAAAAAAATTCCATGATAAAAATTTGCAAAAAATATTGTAAGAATTTTATTTTTTTTTCTTGCAGATTTTCTTGCAAAAATAAATTCGCAAGTAATGTTTACTAAATGGTAGAAAAAATTTACAGGTAACTTTTTGTGCAGATTTTCCTGCCAATTTTAATTCGCAGGAAAAATAAAAAAAATATTTAAATTTATAAGTTTAATTTTTTAAAAACTTCAAGTCCCACATCGATTAAAAATAAAATAATTAAAGAGTATATAAGTTGAGGCAACAATTACCTTACAAGTTGATTTGTATGGTTGAGTATTGGGCTTATAATCTACAATCTTAGAGTTTAAAAGATTATATATCACATGTTGGAGGCGTGGAAACAAATGTTTTGGATGAAAGTAATTTCTTTAATTTTTTTCGTAAAAAATATTCCTGCAAAATTTCTTACAAAAAAATTCGCAAGAAACTTTCCTACGAATTTTTTTTGTAGGAAAATTTTCTGCGAATTTTTTTCGCAAGAAATTTCGCAAATTTTTTTTTGCAAATTTTAAAATTCACAAAAACATATTATCTACGAAAGTATTACCTACAGATAAAAATTTGCAAAATTTTTTGTAAAAATAACGTTTTTTACGAATTTTCATAAAAAAATTGCAAAAAAAAAAGTCACATGTAATAAAAAAAATTCTATTAATAATTATTTACGGTTAGCTCGATAATTAAAGATCGATAACTACTTATTAGATAATTGAACATAACAAAATTAGTAATCAAACACAATAATAGATGCATTTCGTTTACATATTGTAATTGTAATATTGTATATACAGGTTACAATCATGTATTTTTGGACAATAGGTTCGCAAAACCATATTTTTTTCCAACCGACAGTCATTGTTATTAGCTCTATAAGCTGTTATATGCTTTTGTATATCTCCACTAGGATAAAGGTAGAAAAATCCAAGAGAGTAGTACGTGTACGTGGGGTGACAAAGACGCTCCTCGAGGATAAATTATTAGGCGTAGGTCAAAATTACCAAATATTTATAATCTCAATTAATCTTTGCATAACTTTAAGAGACTAACCAACCCTCTTGCCAAATTCTCTACGCTATACACATGAACAACAGAAAACCACCAAAGATGAGAAAAACATCTGAGAGACATCAACAAGAACGAGAAGAAGCAAATGGTTGAAGGAGTGATTTGAATATTCATGTACACACATTTTTATGTACTCAAATAGAAAAACATGAATATGGGTGGATTGAATTAAACGTAAATTTAACTATTAAAAATATTAAAACAAATATATATTGAATAATTGTGTGAAAAGCGTCCAACAAATAATAAAAATTAGTATTAATAATTTCATCATAGTTATTAAATAGTTGGTTTTTTTTTTTAAATATGTTGACATTGATTCAATTCTTTTATTATGTATATATGAAAAAGACTTTGTCAAGAGAAACATAACTCACTTCAATAATATTTATATCTTAAAAGAAACTAGTTTTTAACTATCAACTAGAGAAAACTATTGAAAGAATGATCAACATGAATGAGAAAAAAAAGCAAACAGAAAGGTAGTTGGGTGAAAAGTGTCCAACAAATAACAAAGATTGATCCTAACAAAATCCACCATAATTATTAGATAGTAAAGTTTCTTAAATATACTCACAAGAGTTAAATTTCCTAACTGTACACTTGATTAAAATAGATAAAACTCGCTTTGAGGATGTTCATATATATACAAAGACAAAAGAGTTAATATCTCATTATGAATTGGAGGATAGCAAAGAAAGAAAACTAGGTAGTTGACATATCTCGTACATGGAAGACATTGGGGTTCTTGATGACTATATCATACATGTAGATAGAGGTGAACTTGGAGAAGTCCTTTGGAAGAGAGATTAGGTCAGTGGAAGAATGCTTGTGGAATTGGTAGAGTTGAGGGTCTCTTCCATAATACCTTTCCCACCCTAAATTAGTCAATATTTGCTCCAACATACTGTAGGAAGAGATAACTTCCCCACTTGGCAAATGAACCAAAATCTTTTGGTTTAAACTATGTGCCTTCCCCTCCGCTTGACGCTTTTCCATTAGTCGAAAACCTTCTTTCTTGAATACCCAAACCCCAGACATTTTTTATTGCTTTTTTTTTTTTTTTTTTTTT